CAGCCATTGTGCTGGGAGTGGAAAATCCTTTTCTGACTTCATCTCCAAGGGCTGAAAATAGTCTCAGGTGAGCCCCTGGGGGCTGGCTCTGTCTGGCCCATTGTTCCTGGCTGGGACAGGGCTGAGACTGGACACCTGGCTGAGCTGGAGCCAAGAGAGAGGCGAGCCCTACTGAAGAGGCTGGAGTGGCCGGGCAGAGCCAGGGCCCACTGCATATGGGGAAATTGGAAACTGAGGCCCAGAGAGAAAAAAGTATTCACCATGTCACATGGTACATCAGGATAGAGGAGGATGAGTTTGGCTTCTGGAGCTCATTTCCCCCGCCCTTCACCCCACACCTCAAGCACATACCCCTGGGGAATGTAAATGCATCCTTCATCCTGCAGCCCAGTGACTCCTGGCCAAGTTCCAGCCTCCACCCCGCAGGAGGCAGAAGCATCAGACATTCAACTGGCTCCACTCCAAGGCAATGTGTGGTGCCAGTGGAGTCACTTCACCTTTCTGGTCACTTGATACTAGGGGAGACCCACTGCCCCACTCTAGTCCTCAGAACTGAGGGCTCATGGGGTCTTGGGAGTGCCTGGGGGAGTAGCTGTTAGTTGTGTCTTTGATGAAAAATCTGGGTGGCTGCTGCCCTAAGGTAGGGAGAACTGGAATGTGGGAAGCAAAGTCTTCAGGTTCTATAGAGTGACAGAGAGAGGGCAAGCAGTTGGCCTCAGGTCACACAGCAAAAACTGCCCATCCATTGCCTGCTCTGGCCCAGCTCCAGGCCAGTCCTCCAGCCCTGGGTCTCTGACTCTTGGATAAACCAAGGAGAGGCTGCAGCACCCTGTGGTGGGCACCACCAGTCAGGGAGAAATGGCTAAGCCTGCTGCCATGGGCTCTGGAAGATCAGAGGCATCCTCGTCTTCCTCCTCCTGCCATCACTTCTCCTTACTGCCCTTCCACAGCCCATCGCCTGGACAAGGTTCTGTAAACACACACAAGCTCATGAGCCTGAGAGCCACCCAGTGCCAAGCAGGGCAGAGGGTGGTCCCACACCTCACCCCAGGATGGACCTGCTCTTTCTTCCCACACCCTGGGGAAGCCTCAGCCACAGGGGACACTCTATTGCTCACTGGCCAGACACACTGTCCTTTCCTTCAACTCACTTATCCCAATGTGGTTACTTATTAAGTTATGTCAACTCCCTGAGGGCAGGGTCCAGCTGGCTCGCCTCTGTATCCCCTTGGCACAGTGCCTGGTGTGTAAATGCTTATCATGTGCCAGGCCCTGTTCTAAGCGCTTCATGTGTATTCATTCAGGTAAGCCTCCCAATGCCCTACGTGGGTGGTAGTATCTCCTTCTAGAAATGAGAAAATGGAGGTGCTGCAAGATTGATTTGCCCAAGGTGCCACAGCTGGAAGAAGTGGAGACAACCCTCAAATGCAGGTGGTCTGGGCAGAGAACTGGTGCTCTTAACTCCATCCTCACTAGACTGCCTCTTTCATCTTGAATCACACAAAGGGTCGCTTACAAACTCTCCTGCCCCGCAGGGGTAGCAAGTGGCATGCGATACTGGAAAGGGAACTAATCTGGGCATCAGATGGACCTGAACTCAATCTTGACTCACCCATTTACTGCCTGTATAACCTGGAGCAAGGCCTCACCTCTCAGAGCCTGTCCTCTCATCTGCTAAATGGGGGTGATAATGTCTATTTCACACGGTGGTGGTAAAGAATAAATAATAATGGATGTGAGAGGGCCCTGCCTGATGCCTGGGACATGGGTCAGTACCTTAGCTCCCTTCCTCAGGGGCCTGGCTCTAAACAGATCAGCCCAAATCTGCCTTGACGAGGGTGGTGGCAGAGGGGTAGCTTTGGTGGCCTGACCTGGACCAAGATAGGAGTAACTGTGTCTGAAGGGCATGTTGGCCAGGGCCTTTCCTAGCCTTTGGAGGGTACGAGTGTCCCTCCTGGGACAAATGCCACCTGGGGCAGAGACCCCTATGTGTCAGGGCCCCTGCCCCCGTTGCACGGAGCTCACTGAGAAGAGCTGCTGCAGGCCAGTCAGCAGGCATTTGCTCCTCCCAGCTGCTCTCCCCGCCCCTCTCCACCCCAGGTCCCTGGCCTCAGCTCCCCAGCTCCATCAGAGGTGGGAAGAGCTGGGGTGGTGGGGGTGATGGCAGGATTCCCACAAAGGCACTGACCTGCACTAAATGGAGCAGAGCCGCAGGGGCAGCCCGAGCCCCTGGTGCACGACCAGGCGCCACACTGACCTGCTGAGTGACCTTGGACAAGGCCCTGCCCCTCTCTGGCCTTGAGTCTGCAGCTGGGCTGGATAATCCCTGGGGTCCCTGTCAGGGGCTGTGACCTTTCACAGCGTCCTTCAGGAGTCAACAGCCCCAGGAAGTGATGTCAGGGCGAGGAGGTGGGGAAAGGGCAGCAAGGCCCGGAGTGTAAGAGGAGATATTTTGAGAGCAGGCAGGTCCCTCCACGTCACTGCTGGACAATGGTCTGGGGCTGGGAGTGGAAAATCCTGTTCTTACTTGGGCTGAAAATAGTATAAGGCAACAGGGTAAAGAACCTCACCCACCAGGCGGGGGGCCTGGGCACTGAGAACAAGGCCATATGTCCACACCGAAGAGCCAGACGGTTTGACTAGGGTCCGCAGGAGGGGCCCTGGGCCTGTCCCTGGTTCCCTTAGGGTCTTCATTCCCCACCCCCACCAGTGCCTGCCACAGGATTAGATGGTGAGTCAGGCCCTCCTTTCCCCTAGCACCTGTGTCCTTAGAAATCTGTAGGCAGTTGGTTTAAGGAAGGCGTCCTGGCACTAGGCCATGGTGTGGTCTCTACGTGCTGTGGGGCTCTCAGTTCTTGGGGTCTCCAGGACAGCTGCTGGAGGGGTAACTGGGCAGGACATGAAAGGAATGGGGACTATAGGGGAACTTGGGCCTGTGGTGGACACAGCCCCATCCCCAACCACAGATAGACACTCGAGAGCCCCCAAAGTCACAATGTATAACTCCCTGCCTCTGAGTCTGAGCAGGGCTGAGGGGGTCAGAGCTCAGCATTAACACTCCTGGCCAGTAGAGTATCTCACCTGGGTAGAGGCGCCTTATAAACTGGGATTGGGTTCAGCCTGAGCAGCAGCTGGTAAGAAAGAGCTAGGCTCAGGCCTGCAAGAAAGGTTCAAGGACAGACTGTAGGAGATCATCACAAAAATGCTCATAAGGACCCGGGCTACATTAACAGGAGTATAGAACCTAGAATGTGGGAGGTGAGCATTTCACACTACTTTGGGCAAGTCACCCACATTGCACAATGCAGAGGAATCATTTGGGTCATGGCTTATGACAGGTCCGTGTCACATGGGGGAGCCCATGTGAGCAACCTCTGGAGGGTGCCGTTTTGAAGATGCAGAGTGGGAAGGGTGGAGAAGTCATAGGAGGTAGGTATAGGTGGGGTGGGGAAAGAGGGACCTTCTCTCAGGCAGAGTGGGCCCATCGGGCAAGGGCTCTCCCACAGGGAGAGGGAGAGAGAGAGAGAGAGAGAGAGTCCTTATCCTTGAGGTTCAAAGTGAGGTCTGTCAGTTTTGCCCTATTCCTGCCCAAAGGCTAGGGCTGGGTCCTGTCCAGATGAACTCCACAGATCTCCAGAGTGGTCCTGGCTAGACCCAGAACCTGTCCCAGGTGAGACTCATCTTCCCCACACTAAGCTCTGACCCAGCCTGAGCACCAACCATTATGCCAGGTAGCTGGATTTTCCCAAGAGGCAGAGGACTGGACAGGAAGAGTGAATCTCTCCCACGCTTATCCCCAGTGCAGAAGAAACCTCATGGTCAGGGCAAGGAGGGAGCCCTGACTTGGCCTCCTTCTGACCCGCCCTCCCTCCCCATTCCTGCCTTGAACCTGGGCACCAACTGCCCAGCCGGCTTCCAGTTCCTGCAGGCCCTGGTCTCCTGCCCCCATGTCTTTGCCTAGAATGCACCTGCACCTGGATGTTCTTCTCTGATGAAGTGCTTTTCTCAGAAGTCCACCCACTCCAGGAAGCCTTCCCTGATGCCCTGGTCCACTGCCCCAACCACTCAGCATTATCCAGTGGTGTGCTAGAGAAACTTGTACCTGCTCTCAAGAGCCCTCTGTTAATTTTTCAGGAATTTTGTAAGGAGGCTGATATCACATTGGTAGTCTGAAACTGGCTGTGGCAGGAGTATTTGTACCACAGAAACTGGCAATGCTGTAAATAAGGGGTTCCCCTCACCCCCACACCCCCCGCCGAGAGGCAGCTGAATGGTTGAACTTTTACCAGCGCATGACTGGTCATCGCCATTAAATCCTAAACTGGGGGATCCTGAGGACTGGGACCCCACCTGACTCCCCTCTGTACCCAGCAAAACCAGGCATAAAAGCCAGTTAACTTTAAGGTGGAGGATGACCTGGGGTCTGGAGAGTACATTTATATTCCTCGTATGAGACCACCACTGAGGCAGCTACTGGGGAGGCAGAAGAGAACAGGTTGGAGAAAGGACCTTAGTGTGGATGGTGAGAGCTCCCCAGGCTGTATCCCCAACCTCCAACTACACAACGGGGTCCGGCTCAGCAGGTAACAACACCTTTAGTACAAGTCCCAGCCTCAAACTGGCTCCCAGCCTCCAGATGGGTTTATGACATCAGTTCCCAGATGTTCATCCCGTGGGCTGGGCGTCCTCCTCAGAGCTGAGCCCACAGTGGCACTCAGACCACTCCGACTCATCGTGGGAACCTCTGGCTCAGCCCTGACTCCTTACCAGAGTCCTCTGGTCAACCTGCGACCCTGTCCCTCCCAGGTAGCTCAGGCACAGGCTTGGCTGTGTGACCTTGGTTAAGTCACTTTCCTCTCTGGGCCTGTTTCTCCACTTGACTTGATTAGTCTGGAGCCCAGCCTAGGTACCTTGGCAGGCACAGCCAGGTATTTATGTGGGATTCAGGCCAGGGATAGCGCTGGCCCCAAACCCTTGCCTTTCTTAAAACCTTACTCCCCAAATCTCACATACAAATGGTGACTCGGGATGTGGGGTCTGCTGAGCTCTCTGGACCACAGAGAACAAACTGCGCCCCTGTCAAATGACAGAGCACTGGGGTCACGGCCCCCTTGACCATCTGGCCTGATTCACTGATGGTCCATATCTGGGGAGACTGTCCCATTTGGACAAGTCTACAGTCCCACCCGACACAAACTGGCACAGGCCCAAGGGGTTCAGGTCCTACAGCCGGATGTCCTTAGTGTTTTCACCACCAGGCGGTGTGGACTCTGTCTGTCTAGAGTTCTCACTGCTGGCCGAGTCTTCTGTCCTCTTAGTGTCAGTTCTGTTGAACCTGTGCAGGCCCAGCCTGCGGCGAAGCTGGGTGGTAGGGGTGGAGTCTGTGGGTGGCTTGGCATCCCGAGCAAAGCGCACGAGCCTCTGCCCAGCCAGGAAGTAGAGCACAGGGTCAAGGCAACTGTTGGCGCTGGCCAGCGGCCGGGTGATCTTGTAAGCCATGTTGATAGCGTTGAGGGTGTGGCAGCTGAGGTCCAGCGAGCGGAAGGAGTAGTAGAGGGTGCGGGTGACATGGAAAGGCAGGAAGCAGAGGGCGAAGACAGCTAGCACCACGGCAATGGTGCGCACCGACTTGCGCTTGGCCCGCGGCAGGCCTCCCATGGCCCCGTGGGTCGGCTTTAGCAGCCGCCGAGCCATGAGCACATAACAGACCAGGATGATGGCGAAGGGCACCGCGAAGAGCAGGCTCAGCATGATGGAGCTGTAGGCCACGAAGTGGCTGAAGAGCTCGGGTGCCGAGGTGTCGTGGCAGGTGATGCGGCCACCACGTGCACTGGTGGTGACGAAGTAAAGCACGGGTGCCTGGCAGGCCAGCACCAGCGCCCACACAGCGACGGCCACCCTGCGGGCATAGCGGGCCTGGCCCCAGCGCAGCGAGCGCAGTGGACGCAGGACACCCAGGCATCGGTGCACGCTGATGCACGTGAGGAAGAGGATGCTGCAGTAAAGGTTGGTGTAGAAGAGGAAGCGCACCAGCTTGCAGAGCACTGTGCTGAAGGGCCAGTGGTCACCGCGGGCGTAGTAATAGACCAGCAGGGGCAGGGAGGCCGCGTACAGCGCGTCCGACATGGCCAAGTGGAACATGTATGTGGTGGAGGCGTTCCAGGTCTTGAGGCGGCACAGGAAGATGTAGAGAGCCACGGCGTTCAGACACAGCCCGAGCACGCACACCACGCCGTAGGACACAGGCAGTAGCACGTACTTGAAGTTCTCGTTGAAGCGGCACTTGTAGCCCAGCTCATCCCCATCCCAGGTGCCATTGATGGTGCCATTCCAGAGGCCCGGGCCTGTGGCCATCGCCCTGAAGGGAAGGGGGTGGTGGGGAGAACGGCCATCAGGACCCAGCAGGGAAGCCTGACACCCCCACCTGACCAGGGCCATGAGGGACCCCAAGTGCCCGCAGACTCCCTCGGTTAAGATCTGCCCAACTATGTTCAAGGCTTTTATTGCATCTGATCTGCCTCTCTCCCTGGACCCAGGGGGCCCAGAACCTTGGAACCCTGGAACCTAAGGATGCATGAGATCCATGACTGTCAGGATCATATAATTCTAACACTTTGGAACAGGGAGAGGCAAACTACCCCCTGAGGGCCAAATCCAGCCTACCAGTCTGTTTTTGTAAATAAAGCTTTATTGGCACACAGCCATGCCCATCTGTTTACATAGAGTTGAATAGTTGTGACAAAGACCATATGTTCCTCAAAGCCTAAAATACTTACCAGCTTGCCTTAAAAAAAAAAAAAAAAAAAATCAGTGACCCTGTTTGAGAACCTCAGGGACACAGAGTTCTAGATCTAGGATTCTGAGCTCTAGAATCTGAGGATCTGGTGGTCCCAAAGGGGTACCATCTGAGATTCACGGAAAGGGGCCTTTGAGGCTGACTGGGTCCACCTCACACCCAGTGCCCACTGCCTGTTTGTGGCCAGTGGGCAGCCCACACCTTCCCGGTGGCATTAGGAAGTTCTTTCCTTTGGCTCAGCTTTCTTCTCTCTGGGGAGGCTCTGGCCCTGTGCCTGGTATTTTGGTATTTGAGGGAGTATTTCCAAGGGTCCCCCTCTTCAGTCATTCATTCACCTCTCAGCAAGTATTTTTAGGCACTCCTATTCTGGTACTTTCTGCATCTGTAAACAGAAGTCCTGCTCCCTGGCCTATGAGGCTACCAGATGGGGCTGTGACCCTCCTGAAGATTCCAGGGAAGTCTGGGGTGTAGGTGGTAGTGGGGGCATCAGGGGACTTCTGCTGGGGGGCAAATTCAGCTTCCTCCAGGCTTGCCCAGCTTCTCTTCACGCATCATCACTACCTTGACCTTCTCCTACCTTGTCCCCAGTGAGCATATAACACAGCCCTGATGCCTGACCGCCCAGACAGTGAGCACCTGGAGATCAGGATGCCACCTTCCTCCTCTCCCCATCCCTCCAACGTGACCAAGAGCTCTCTCTCAGACTATCCCAGTCTGGAAGGCAAAGGTGTGCCCAAAGGTCTCAGAAGGTAGGCTGGAAATCATAACGGGAGTCCCAGAGGGGCAGGTTTGGGACAAACACAAAGAATAACTTTCTAATAGTGTGAAGGGGCAAGGGGAGCTGACATTATTCAAGCCCCGCTACTACTATGCGTGCTTTATTCATGTGACTTCATTCTATACTTACAACACGGTTCTGGGAGCCAGGTTTCCGATAAAGAGGCTGAGACACAGATCATTCAAGTAACTTGGCCCAGGTCACAGGCTGGGGATAGGCTGCAATTCCTATCTGGGTCCATCCCACAATGGAAGGGGCTGTAGGAGGAGGTAGTGAACTCTCTGCTTAGGGGGTGTGCAAGTATCTCTCTAGCGGAGTCTGCAAAAGGGCTTGTGCCCTATGTGTGGGTGTGTCTGGGATGACAGAGCGGACAGATGTCATGTGTGTCCTCCCCACCCTGAGACTCTGGGGCTGTAAAATCCCTTTCATTTTGGAACCTGGGGTCCTGAGAGCCTGGGGCTCAGAGATTCTGCGGGGCCGGTGACATCCACTCCCTTAGACACTGAGCTTCTTGCCCAGCCTGATCTCCCAGAAGCAGCCTGAGGCCCATGAAGTTAAGATTAGGGGGGGCTGAAGGACACACTGCTCCCTCAGCTTCCTTCTTTCCCCATAACCCTCCCCTTCCCCCGTCTTCCCTGCCTCCTGTTGTCAGCAAAGATGCTACCAGGAGGCAGGGAGCCTGCACTTGTGACCTCCCTCCCACGGGCACAGGCTCCTCCCCAAGGAGCCGGGGCAGATCCAGGGTGAGGAGGTAGGTATGGGGTTGGGGTGGGGGGCGCTGGCAGGGCCAAACTGCTGGGACCCCTCTGGCCTGGGGCCAGGACTCAGGACTCAGCATTAAAGCACTTCCCGCATCCCACTCCACTCCTTGCAGCCCAGTGTCACCTCCACCCTTGCTGCTGGAGCCACTGCATCAGCCTCCCTGTCTCCAGCCTCAGTCCCCCCGGTCCAGAGGGGTCTCTGGAAAAGACAAAGTCATTCTCCTGCTTGAAACCTCCTGTGGCTCCTGCCTGCTCTCAGGAGAAAACCCAGCTCTTCGGTCTGGTACCAGAGGTTTTCATAATCCAGCCTCTGTCACCAGCCGCATCCCCTGTGACCTGCAGTTTCCTGAATGCACCCAATGCTTTTCGCCTCCCAGCCTTATGTTGCTCCTTCAATCTGGGATCCATTCACACCCATCGCCTCCACCTGTTGAAATTACAACTCTATCCGTCAGCGCAGCAAACTCCGGGGATTAAGAAGAACCCGGCCTCTGGACACAGACTGCCTTTGTTCCCTCATCTGTAAAATGAGGTGATTAACAGAACCTATATCACAGGGCTGCTGTGAGGATTAGGTAATTCGTGTAAAACGTTTGGAGCCATGCCTGGCACACAGCAGGTACGCTGTGTGTTACGAGCTTCGAGGCTCAGCTTACCTGCGGCTTTTTCCTGAAATATTTGGGGAGCTCTCTCAGGCCAGGGGTGGAAGAGAGAGACAGAAGGTCCTGGAGGCTGTGAAGCAGGTGAGTGTGGTGGACCAGGGGAATGACTCCAAGGCCCAAGCTGGGGTCAGGCCTGGGGACCTCGTGAGGGGAGAGGTCTGAGAGCTGTTTGGGAGGGAGGCTGGAGAGACTGGCCCAGAGGGAGTCTGGATGGAGGAGGGGCCAGGATGCCTCAGGCTCAGGGGTCGAGAGGAGGGGGAACTCAGTGTCAGGCATGGTAAGTGTGAGATGCCACATCATGGACTGTCGGGAAGGGTGAAGGCTGGGACCAGCAGGTCTGGTGCACTGGGAGATGAGCAGGAGTTGCTGGCTCATAGGAGCTGTAGGAAGAGCCTGGAAGCCCGGGTGTGAGACTAAGGATCTGTGGAGGAGCCATTCCCCCTGGGGACACCGGCTTGGGGTATCCAGCTCTGCCACAGAGCCCCAGAGGACATCAGGTATTTCCTGCCCTCCTGAGGTTCAGACCTCTCATGGGCTGAATCCCCTGGCCTGGTAGAACTGTGGTCCTCAAACTTCCCCCATGAGGTGCTCTGCCCCACTGGAGGCAGGGAGGGTGGCCCCTCTGTGCTCCCTGCTCAGGGAACATCCCCCCAGCTCCACCTCCCCACTGCTGCTCCACTCCTGCCCAGGTGCTGAGGCCTGCTGAGTATCTCCTCAGAGTCAGGGTCAGGGCCCTCATCTTCCCTTCATGGTCAACATCTCATTGCTCTACACAGTTTCTTGCTAATTACTCATGATGGAATCTCTGACACTGATGAGTGGGGCGGAAACTTCCCTAAGTCTCTCATGAACCAAGGGAGCTGCCCTTTCCACCTGTTTTAAGACATCCTGACTACCCTCACAGGCCAGCTGGGGACTCTATCATCGTGGCCCCTGTCCAGACTGACCCTGCCTGTCCTCTCCCTCCACAGGCTGGCCCACCAACCTGTGAGGACATCTTTCCTGCCCCACCCGCTCTGACCAGCCCCTGCTTATGGAGACAGCCAAGTGCCCAGCCCTCTCCATCAGCCCTCTCCACTGCCTCTCCTGACCCCTGATGCCGTTGGGGCCTCACTCCCAGCTCCCCAGGACCAGCTCCCGCCTACCTTTGTCCAACACCACTCACCAGCCCCTCTGTGTCCAGTTCTGGCCGGCCCTGCACTCAAGAGCTCCTAGTGTGGAGGGAGATGTGAGCCATGTTAAGTGCCTGGCAGGCTTTCCTGCCTTTGTGTATTGCCGTTCTTTCTGTCTAGAAAGCCTTTCCAGACCCACACACACTGCACTCTATCCTGCCCATCCCTCAAGGCTCTTCTCAAATGTCACCTCATCTCTGAAGCTCTCCCCCTCCATCACTAATCCCCCAGGGCATTCCTCACACCCTGCTGGGAATTTGTCCTTCCACTCTCTACCCCAACACATTCCAGGTGCTCCTGGAGGACTGGGTCCATCTGATTCCTTTCTCTGGCCCTATCATCCAGCAAGAGGCCTGATCCAAAGCAGGTATGACATGAATGAGAGAATGAATGAATGAGTGAGTGAATGAATGAATGAATAAGTGAAGCAAGCACAAGAGCTATGGGAGGCCAGAGGAGGCTAAGCTTTATGATGGTGGCTCTCCTTTCCCTTGTTCCTCTGAGGACCTTTCACAGGACAATGACATTGAAGGATTTCTCAGCAGTTGATCCTAGGTGGCCAGGGGTCACAACAGCCCTCCAGGGGCCCAGCTCACCTGAGGCCTGCTCCTGCCCTAGGCAGGCTCCTGGACTGTCTCTCTTTCAAGAGCCCTGCTCTCCTCTGGACACATCAGAGAAATGCCAGAGGGAGGGGAACCGGACCCAGGCATTCTGGAGACGGGTCAGCTCTCTGATCCACATTCCTTTACCTCACCCATCTCTGGCTCAGGTCATGGGTCAGTCTGGATCAGGAGCTCCTGATCCTAGATCACCACCCCCCTTCACTTTGTAGGGGTCAAGTCTGGGCAGAGCAACTTCCCTGCATCATCCTCATTTCATCCCTCACCTCATTCCTTGGCAGATGCCGCCATAGAGGTTAAGCTATTTGTTCAAGGTCACACTGCCAGGAGTTGGAAAGATTGGGTTTGATACCCAGGGCTGTCTGGCTCTGAAGCCTGAATTCATCACAGCCTGGGAAGGAGGGAGCAGGGCACAGATCCCCTTGATTTACCCCCAGTTCAGTGTATACACATGCACGAGTGCACCGGCCCCAGCCTCCCAGCCTCGCAGCCAGTAGACCCTGCCCTTGCACACCCATACCTGACCAGCCCCTGCTCTCGCTGTCAGGATGCTCAGCGCAGGCTCAGGTTCCTCACTCATGAATGCACCCGCCTGGACCCCTGGACTGAGCTGCAGGAAACCCTGTGGGAAACAGGAAAAACAGGTCCCCTGGCCTGGGGCCTCGCCCAGCTTCCAGCATTTCTCAGGGCAGGCAGTGCCCGGGCTCCTGAGACAGGGAGGTGGAGACAGCTTGGGCTCTGGGTCACGGGAAGTCAGCCAGGCCGAGCCTTCCCCGGGCTGCCTCTTCTGCTCCAATCTTGGTCTGAAAGAGGCAAAGAGGTGAGCTGGTGTGCTTGTCCCAGTAGGCAGGAGTGTCCTCTGCCCACCCTCACCCCCTAGCCATCCACCCTGAGCTCACATGTTCTAGGGACGGTTGTTCCCAGCCTTCAGGCCCAGGTCCCCTTTCACGGGAGGGTGGCTCTGCCAGGCAGGGTCTCCCCCATACCCTATAGAGTTGAGCTGAGCCTCCAGTGCCCCCTCCCTTGGTCCTGGTCTGGAAATAGTCAATACCCTCCTTGCCCAGTGTACGCTCGACAGTACTCTGGCCAACCTAGTTTAGCTCAAGCTGGGTCTCTATCTGGAATACCCTTCCTCCCTCATCCCACCTCTAACCATTCCTCCACAGGTGTTGTAAACACACAAGGACACACACAGGCACGGATACACCTAGATACACAGATACACAGAGATGTACACAGTCATGCTCAGATGTATACACAGTATACACACACACTCTCTCTCACACACCCAGAGTCTTAAACAGTCAGGGCCTGCAACAGCTTTTAGAAATCACCTCTGCCAACCTCCCATTTGACAGAGGAGGAAACTAAGGCCCAAGGCCTCACAATAAGCCAGGGACAGAGCCAAGAGCAGAACCCAGGTCTGGATTCTGGCCCTAGTTTTATGTCTTGCCTGGAGCCCTTCCCACAGAGCAGGCACAGCGCTTCAGTGAGGGGATGGTGACCTGGTGGAGGAACGCCTCGGTGTGGTCAGGTCCCAGCAGAACCTCAGACCCATCTCAGAGAATAAGAACATCCCCTTCCTTTTTCTCCTGGTTTCATTTCCCTGCAATGGGGGAGTGGGGTCTGAGACAGCTGAGCCAGGTCCCCAGGCTGGAAGTATAATGCAAGCATGGGGGAAAGTGGGGAGAGGAGATGGGTGGCTGCAGGAATAGGGCAGGGGGAGGGGGCACTGGAAAGGCCCTGGACCACCGTTTTCCCAGTGCACCTTGCCCCAGGAGTCTCAGGCTGACATTGGCCAGCGGGCTGGTAGCTGTTTGCCAGTCTGTTCTGGAGTCTAGTGACAAGGTGAAAGAAAGAGCTTCACCTTTTCACCCACTCCACCCAGCGTCACACCCAGTCTTCTCTTCCTAGGGAGATATCTTCACTCAAAAGACTAAGGTAGAACAACGCACGTTCTCAAAGCCACTCTCCCATTTCTGACAAGGGTCTCTACCATCCATCCTTCCAGGCTTCAAAGCTCCAGTATACCCTTGACAACCTCTCTCTTTCCCACCCATGTGAAACCATCACTCACCAAGCCCTGTCAGTTCGACCAATGCAGTGGCTTAGACGTGCCACTCTTCCCGACCCCGTGGTTTTGGGCCTGCATTTCTCCTCCAGACCATTGCACTAGCCTACTTACTCCCTGCCTCCACCCCTGCCCCTCCTGTCCATCTTTCATACCGCAGTTATGGGTCTTCCTAAACCACACATCTGACCACATACTATGGAGCTCAAAATCCTTCCATGGCTCCCCATTGCCCTCAGGCTGACATCTAAGTTCCTGAGCCTGGCACTCAAAGCCCTGCCGATCTGGTGCTGCCACACTACTCTCCCTCTTCGCCTCCACCCTCATCTTTCTGTCTCCAACACAGCAAAAGCAGTCCCATGGTCATATCTTTGCTTAGGGATACCCTCCCTTATCTTCTAACAGCTATGTCATAACAAGAGTTGAATGCTTTCTCTGTACCAAGTTCCATGTTAGAAGGCTCCATCAACCTCTTCTCGTTTAGTCCTGAGAATTTCAGAGAGGTTGAATGACCTCTCCAGGGTCACATAGCTAGCAAATGGCAGAGCAGCCCTGGTCTGTCTGACTTTAGGAGCTATGCCCGTGGCTGTAAGCAGATAAGGTAGGGGTTCCCCAGAGAAAGAAAACCAGGCATGGCTTTCTTGGCATAAGAGAAGCCATATTAGGCCTAGGATTTAAGCCTGGCCGAAAATGCTTGCCCTTGAACAGGTCTCAGTAATCAATGATCTTAAGGGCAAGAGAAGTAGCAATAGCAAATACAATAAATCAGTTGTAAAGATTCCCAGCTCTGTTTCAATGGTAAAGATTAGCCTGAAGCACTTTCTTGAGCTGTTCTGCAAAATTTAAACCCCCCTTGAGGGCTCAACCGCCAGATCAACTGGAACCTAAGGAATGATCATCAATGATGACCTTTTCTGACTTGAGTCCTCAGTCAACTAAAGCTTAGACCCTGTCAACCTTTGCCCCAATTATATGCTGAGTTCTCTGCTCATATCCCTTGCAAGTGAATATGCATGTACCCTTAGCATAAAACTCCCCCAATTTTGCTGTTCGGTGAGACACTGCTTTGGGAAAGGTCCCCGGTGTTCTCCTTACTTGCTGCAAGTAGTAAGTACTTCCCTCTCCCGCTCTTTGGCTGGGTTATGCCTTTTGGCTTGATGCCCACGAAGAGGCAAACCCAGTTTTGGGGTAACTACCTCATACCCTCCAAAGCCCAGATCCTCTCTTCCAGGAAGCTCCCTGACCAGCCCTCTTTGAGCCCCACAGTTTTGCCTGTCTGATTCATTCTCCACCGGAGGGAACGTCTTAGTGGCAGGGCCCAAGATCTACTCTTCCTGGTAGCTCCCCATTGTGAAGCAGCCATGATGGTTACTGTACCCATCTTACAGTTAAAAAAAAAACCCATCAAGGTCAGAAAGGGTAGCCCAAGATCTCACCCAAGGTCACCAATAAGCCAAGGGCAGAGCCAAGCCTAGCATGCAGACTGACTACCCTCTCCCTTAACCTGGCTCTGCCTCTACTCCACACTGGGTCTTTCTCCCTGTGGTCCCAGGCTAGTGAGCCCAAAGCCAGGAGAAGTGGCTGGGGCAGTTCCCAGGATGGTTGCAGAACTCCCAAGGTGGTTGGACAACATTCCAGCTTCTCCACTAGGGTGGCTCTGGAATGTACTGCCTGCTCCATACCCACCTGGCTGGCCCTGTCCAGTTTGGCAGGGGAAAGTGACCCATCACCATTCTGGAAACTCCTGCTGCCTGCCTCTGCTGGGGGTGAAGTGCTGTGAAGGGAAAACAGAGGCTTTGGATCCAGAACACCATTGAGGGGCAGGGGAGGGCACTGGGCAGGTGGGAGATCCCCGTTCTGCCATTCCCAGCTACAGGATCTGGACAAGCCTCAGCTCCACAACTTAACTCTCAATTTCCTTGCAATCTAAGAACAGTACCTGGGCTTCCCTGGTGGCGCAGTGGTTGAGAGTCCGCCTGCTGATGCAGGGGACGCAGGTTCGTGCCCTGGTCCGGGAGGATCCTACATGCCGCGGAGCGGCTGGGCCCGTGAGCCATGGCCGCTGAGCCTGTGCATCCGGAGCCTGTGCTCCGCAACGGGAGAGGCCACAACAGTGTGAGGCCCACGTACCGAAAAAAAAAAAAAGAACGGTACCTGCCTCGTAAGTTTGTTGAGATAACTAAAGGAGATGATTTAGACTCATTTTGTGAAATAATTAAAAGAGATATGATTTTAGCACGTGAAGAAGGCAGGGAGGATGGGGGTAACCCAGGAAGATAAGAGGGGCAAGAAACCCACGGGTATTATGGGCAGAGAAGCAAGGTCACAGCCAGACTGACCACAGATCAAGGTTCCCACACTGAAGGCTAACCTCAGAAGGGAGGGCAGCTTAGGGACCTCCAGCAGGACTTACACCTCACCATAGCCCATCACTCACTCACCCTTTACAGGGGCTGCCATACCTACACCTGTGCCTGTGCGGGGCACTTAGGGACTCTGAGGTGGGTCAGACCCTTCCATGATCTTGAGGAGCTCACTGTCAAGGCTGAGGGTGGAGGGAAGAGGACAGGGGAAGAACCAGAAATAGTCAGCAACAACTTAAGGTGATGAGAGCTGAAGGAACCAAGAGGGCCGCTAATGGGAATGGGGGGTGGGCAGTGATCAGGGAAGCCTTCCTGGAGGAGAGGACACCTGCCTTTGGAAGATGGGTAGGAGTCAAGAGGGTGGAGAGAGAAGAGGAGCAGAGTGAGCGAAAACTGGGGTAATATGTTTGGGAAACTGTCAGTCATCCCTGTGGCTTGAGGGGAGTAGAGAGGGCAAGGCTGGGTTGGAGAACAGGAAGAATCTTGGAAGTCATCCTCTGCCCCCTCCCAAATGTCCTCCATGGGGCTGAAGGTCAGTAGGCCCCCAGCCTTGCCTGGTGTGCTTTCTGCACCACAAACACTGGGGCTTGTCTGGGGAAATAGCTGAGGGCTAACCTCAGATGTTATCAGCAGGTGCTGTTGTAGTGTGAAGCCTCTGCAGCCTCCGCTGGAGGCCCTGGGTCTCTGTAGCCCCTTCTGGAATCTCTCCCCACCTTGGGAGCCCTCAGGATCCTGACCGTGGGAGCCATCCATTGGGGTTGAGCTCAGAGCATCTGAGTGTGTGGGTCTCAGGTCAGCTAGGCTGGTCCTCCCACTTTACAGATCAGGAAACTGAGACTCCTGAAGAGGAAGGGCCTTATCAAGGTCTGGTCTTCTAATTTTCAGTGTGGGGTTGAGCACCCCCAAACCCACTCCAGGGCAGGACTCCAAGCCATCTGATCCACCCCTGACACAGCACAGCCCCGCACAGTTGCTAAACTGAACAAGTTCAGAACCACAATGCCCTGGACTCCACCCCAACCCATCACACTCAAATGCCTCCAGCCATACTCAAGAGGCAAGAACCCTGGGTTCAGGCTCCAACTTGGAACCATCCATGCTGTGCAATCTTGGTCAAGTCAGTTCCACTCTCTGAGCCTCAGGTTCTTCACTGGTCAG